GGTACCTCATTTGCAAACTTACTGTGTCACAATTTTGGGGAAGATGGCTCCATTTGTGATTGTGTAGGGAAGATGGCTGGGGTTGTGTTTGTCACCCAATGGGAACAGAAACAAAATTTTGCTGAATGCTTTTGTTTGTGAACCAAATTGCACATAAAAGCATTCGTGAACCAAGGTATTACTGTACAGTAGTAATATGTTTAATTAGTGATATAATACCATACTGGAATTGTTTAAGCTGCTAAGGCAAAATGATAAGAAAAGATTAATGACTTCTGTGCTGATAAATTGGGACCTCCAATCACATAACTGACCATATATCTAAAACATTAATTATAAATGGTTTCATTAGTAACATCTCCTTTTTTCTTGCTAATCTTCAAAGCAAGGAAATAATCTCTGTCTTTCCCCCAATTTGATTAATATTTATTTTCTTACCCACTTTCCCCAAAATAGTCTTTCAGTATTTTATTTTAAAGTTGATAATGTCAAAATTAACAGTACAAATTGACAGTTGTACTGTAGTGATTTCATTTTCTTTTTTTTTTTTTTTGGTACTGGGGATTGAACTCAGGTCCTTTCATTTTCTTCTTTATTAGAATGTTTCTCATACTTTACGTGGGTATGTTTCTTTTTGTAAGGTGAAAAGGTTTTATTTTCATTCTTTTTTGTTTAGAAATGGAGAGTTTTAAGGCCATGAATTTGTTTCACAATTAAGCTTTTGTTATAGCTCATTAGTTTTGATTGCATAATGTCTTAAATAGCATTAGTCACTAAACACTTCATAATTGCAATTTTGATTTATGAACTTCAACCAAGAGTCATTTTAGGTGAGTGTTTTTTAAATTATGATCAAATAAGAAAAGCCAAAATATGTCATGCTTTAGTTACTTGTTCTATATTATGTTTAGCGACTGTACTAAGGGTATTTTGGAAAGTATAAATGAAAAAAATAAAAATAAAAAAATAAATCATGATTTTTCAGAGTCTGATTATCTGTGCTTTTTTTTGTCTGCGTATTTGTTGGTACAAGGACTGTAGCCATTGTAAATGTCATGCAGCAGGCTGATTTTGTATGGAGTATAAAAATCAGAGCTGAATTCTTTCCACTTATTATATCCAGTATCCTACACTATTAAGACCACAGCAATGAAACAAGTCCTTTGAATGTAACATCATAGAGATATTTGATAGATTCTTTCAGTTTTTAGCAAATGTTCTTCTTCATGGAAAGAAGGAATATATTACCCACTACATTGATGTTGGCTTTTGGTCCGTGGCCTGTTTTGGCTAATGAAACTTAGTGCATATCATGCACCTGCATGATTGCGCCAATTTCTTACATGAGAAGAGGAAGCTCCATTATGTCCGGAACTCAAAATGATAGAAGTGAGGAACTGATTTGGACCTGAGCCACATCCTAGAGCAGAGCCATCAAAGTTAATCCACAGATTTCATGTGCATGAAAATGTTTGTCTTTGAAAGCCATAGGAATTGTGAATTTGTTTGTTATTCAGCATCATAGCACCAAAACCTGACCAAATTAAATCAAACATCTAATAAAAGAAAATCATTTTGAAGTTTCAATTCTTTCCTTTTATTTAGGATTGTAGAGGGAAAAAAACCCTCACTTGATGGTTATTATGTATTTTAATAAATGTAATATTTTAAAGTAGACATTTTTTCTATTTTATGTATAAGTCATGTATCACATACTATTGGTTTATAAGCATCCAGTATTTATTTGCGTATGATTCTCATGCTATCATATCTCCTTTTCAGCCTTATGCAATTTTTTTAACAATGTGAATCTTTGATACAATATGTCTGTGGTTCTTTTTAAAATGATTCTCAACTCTTTTTGAAACATATTATCTATTATTTTTTTCTTCTTTTCTTATTTTTAAATGAATAGTGTGAATTTGCAATGAAACCTTGGTGAATATTGCCTAAAAGAAGTGTAAATTACAGACCTAGAATTTCACTGTTGTCTATTTTTGCATAGAAATCATTCATCCATTTATTATGTATGCATCCATTCATTTAGTACCTTCAGCATGCCAGATACTGCTTTAGATATGGTTAATGTTAAGATGCTCCAGATATAGGTTACATTAAGAAGAATAAGATACTATCACTGTCATTAAGGGAATTTGCAAACCACTGGAGGTCAGAGATGAACACAAATCACAGAAAAAGTAAAAAGTACTGTATTATGACACTACATAGGAGTAAAAAATGACAACACATTTTTATAGTAGGAAATGAAGGATATGCTGGGATGAAAGTAAGGAATGGTGATTTTGGAGAAGGAGAAAATCATGACCAGGTTTTTACTTTGGAAAGTTCATTTTGGACGCAGGGTAGAGAAGAGATTATTTACCTCATCATTCTGGAAATTGCAGCCTAAGATTGGGTAGCCCTGTTGTCTTGGGCCTTGGCAAGGGCTGCACACCATGACAGAAGCATATAGTAGAACAAACTGTACCACAACTCAATAATAGATTGGAAGCTTGAGCTCCATAATGCCTTGTGAGGGCAGCCTCCCAATGACCTAAGGACCTTCTTCTAACCCTCACCTCCTGAAGGTTCCTGTCACCTCCCAGTAGTGCCACTATGCAGACCAAGCATTTAAGACATGAGCCTTGGAGAGATGCTCATTCAAATCATAGTAATAACATTACTAAGAATTTGAAAATACCTATGCAATTGCCAGTTTTCTTTGGATTGAAGTTAAGCAAATAGCAAAGTTACTGAAAGATTTGACTACTTTAATAATATTAACAACATAGTTTGATTTCCATATCTATGAATTCTGCATGTGTAGATTCAACTGTGGATGGAAAACATTTAGGAGAAAAATTGTGTCTATACAGAACATGCAAAGCCTTTCTTCATTTTATTATTACCTAAACAATGTAGTACAGCAAGTATTGATGTAGTATTTACATTATATTTTTTATTGTAAGTAATCTAGAGATCATTTAGGATATATAGGAAAATGTATGTAGCTTATATGCAAATGCTATATCATTTATATAAAGGATATGAGTGTCCGCAGATTTTGGTGTCCATGGAGGTCCTGTGAATAACCTCCCCTTGGATACTGAGGAATCATTATGTACTAAAAAATTAAATTTGAGCTTAGTTTTTTTACTGGCCCGACTCTTTTTGCAATGTTACTGTGCTCTTATTTTACCAAAAAAAGAAAAAGAATGTTTTTACCAAATACTTTGACTTTAAAATTAATTGTGTGAAAACTAACACCACTGATTAATACAAAATGCATTAGATAATTTAGTTTTATACTGCAATAAGATAGAAGTCTCTAGTTCCGTAAGTACTTTATAAGTCCTGATGCCTAAAATTAAAACAGTACAAATATGTTTATTTGATGTAAAGATTTTCAATTGCTATTTGTAAGTGAGCAAAAGTAGAAATGAAAGTGAAAATTCTTATATTCTTTGTTTTAAAAATCTTAAATCGATTGTCACTTAAAGGTATCATCTGTACTGTCTGCATTACTAGTTAAAGTTGGTACATAAAGTAGTTTTGTTAGCCATAGTTTGCCTTGATTTATGTATAACAGCTATTTTTACGTAAAAAAATTAAATTTGTACATAGTGTTTTTTTATAAATATCTTTATTTCTGAGCAACTTGTCTCCTCTTTTTTTTTTATTGATTTTGGTACTGGTGATCAAACTCAGGACCTTGGGCTTGCCAGGCAGGTGCTGTGCCGGTGAGCTAAATCCCTGGCCCTTACATACAGTATTTTAAAAAGTTTTAGTTACTGCTTTCTACTGTTATGATAGAGACATACAAATCATATCATAATTTAAGAATTAGGGCCTGGTGGCACATGCCTATAATCCCAACACTTGGGAGGCAAAGCCAGGAGGATCATCCCTGTAAGTTGTTCTTTCTAGTACTGTTGGATATTTGTGAATAATTTGTTAAAAGTGGTTTGAATGATAATACAGGTTAAACGTAGATTTTTAATAAAGTACTGTTTACTGATATAAAATAATTTATCACTTAAATATGTTATTCATTCCACTGAAATGTAAATTCACACACCTGAAAAAAGTATTTTCATTATTTTGGACTATGCCTGTTTTTTAAAATTTCTGATATATATATATATACACACACACACACACACACATACACACACATATATATATGTATATGTTATAGTTTATATCTAGATGTCCCCTAGAGCATCCTACACTCAGAAGTAGGGCTTTTGAAAGGTAATTGGATGATGCAGGCATTACACTCATTGGTGAATTGGTGCACTGATGAGTATACCTAAATGTGATGTTAGGAGGTGAGGCCTGGCTGGGAAAGATGGGTTACTAGTGATCTGGCCTGGAAGGTTGTATATCTCTCCTTGGCTCCTCCCTTCACTCTCTGCCATGAGGTGAACAATTTTCCTCCACCATGCCACTTTAAGGACTGAAACATCTGAAAACATGAGCCAAAAGTAAATCTCTCCTTTAAATTGCATGTTTTGGAAATTGTGTCTCAGGAACTAGAACACAATTAAGACACCCTGTATATCTTATATAGAGTATAACTGTATACAATATATATCCTTGTGAAGAATAAACTCATAGAAGAAAGCTTTTCACAATGGTTGAACATTTGAGCTCTAGAGTCACATTGTGTATATTGCCTGCAAAACTAGGTACCCCTCAGCAAATTACTAAACCTACCTGAATTTTTAATTGCCTCTTTTAGAAAATGGAGATAGTAACAGTAACTACCTTATGGAATTGTGAAGATTAACTGAAGTAATAAATTTAAAATTTTTCACATTTTATTTAGCAGAAGAAATCTTCAGTAAATGTTATTATTAAGAATTTTCTATTATTTCTATGTTCAACAAATGTTCATTGCTTACTAAATCAATCACTATTAAATATATGGAATATACTCATTTTTATTTTTACCTCAGAGATAATTTTTTTTCTCATCGATTTTTTTCTTTATTTAGGTCACTTTTCACATAGAACCCTATAGTAATCGAGATGATCAAAACATGTATCAGAATGTCAAATACATTATTGACAGGTGAGTTTCTTCTGTATTTATAATTGTTGTTATGTGACCTAGTGATAATTATTGCTATATAGAATGCATGCAATATAGATAGTATATTTAAATTATATTTGAGAAATTTCAATGGCTTATGCGCTGACATTTTTAATAAGTTTAAATTTTTTTGGAATGAATCATAATTATTTTGAGGACTATTTCTGAAATTCTTTACAGTTCACTTTCTGCATGAGTAAAGATTTGTGTTTTTAGTTTTACATGTTTATAAGGCCATTTATGATTTCAGTTATTGATATTTTAAATTGTTATTTCTAAAATATGAAAATAATTTTGCTTTTTTAGAAAACATTATAAAATATGAATGACTTTTATACTATTTATATCTAATATGATTAAAAGAAAGAATTTATTAATATATTTTCATTTTGTTAAAGGAATTTACTGATAATCTCTGACAGATGTCATACTTATCAGCAATAAAGGAACATGTTATACAAATAAAGTTTATGTATTCATGTATTTATGGGCTTTTTATGACAATCAACATTTGTAAAACTGAATATGAGATAATTAATTTCTTATTTGGTAATATGTCCAGTAACTCATTTTATAATGTGGAAAATTAAAGTGCATTTTTAATTATTATATTATATGACTAACTTCCTGAAGAAGGGGAATGATGTTCTTAAACTGCACTGATTAGTTTAATTTTCAATATGCAAAATTTTTGCTGTGACAGTTAAGTTGTGAATATTCATTTCACTTTTACATATGTTTATATTCTAGATACGGAAATCATCCAGCCTTTTACAGGTACAAGACAAGAACTGGGAAATCTCTTCCTATGTTTTATGTATATGATTCCTATATCACAAAGCCTGAAAAATGGGCCAACCTGTTAACTACTTCAGGGTCTCACAGTGTTCGAAATTCCCCTTATGATGGTTTATTTATTGCACTTCTAGTAGAAGAAAAACATAAAAATGATATTCTTCAAAGTGGTTTTGATGGTATTTACACGTATTTTGCCACAAATGGCTTTACTTATGGCTCCTCACATCAGAACTGGGCTAATCTAAAACTCTTTTGTGATAAGTACAACCTAATGTTTATCCCAAGTGTGGGTCCGGGATACATAGACACCAGCATCCGGCCTTGGAACACTCAAAACACTCGGAACCGAATCAATGGAAAGTATTATGAAGTCGGTATGGGTGCTGCTCTTCAGACCCACCCAGGTTTAATCTCTATCACCTCTTTTAATGAATGGCATGAAGGAACCCAGATTGAGAAAGCTGTTCCCAAAAGAACAAGTAATACAGTGTACTTAGATTATCGGCCTCATAAACCAAATCTTTATCTAGAACTTACTCGTAAGTGGTCTGAAAAATTTAGTAAGGAAAGAACAGCTTATGTATTAGATGATCAGATGCCCATTTCTTAAGGGACTGATTAAAGGTTAGTAATTATCAAAATCACCTAATTTCAAGAAATACATTCCTTTTGTTTTGAGTTATGGAACAGTACTGTCAAAATCAATATCTACTATTATTATCTTTATTAAAGGGTTTTTATTTAACTTTTTTAAAGATAGTAAATATTGCACTGAGAAAATATTGTAGAGAAAAGTTGTGTAAATAACATTCTTCATGGCATAATTTGCTACCTTTCTGACTGAAATCAAAAATCTGCTAGAGTGAAAATTTAATTTTCAGTTCACAGTGGATAAATGCCTGTGTTATATAAAGTAGCTATCACACAGCTAATTCTTGTTTGTATCCTAGGCCCACATATATAGGGCTGTATGTATATTTGGTACATCTAACAAAGACAAATAAGACCTAAAAAAGATGGTGTACAGATTTTGTTTCTAATTTTTTCAGTGATTATTTCCTTTATTATATTAGTAAAGAGTCTAGATAACTCCTATTGTGATAAAATTCTCAAAAATATAATCACTTTTTCTCAGATTTGCATGAATCTAAAACCACTTTAAATAATAGTCTTTTATGTATTTTAAGTTATATACATTTAAGCCTTACTGTGTCAGGAAGACTACAGTCTGTACCATCATTTGAAGATTTTTGGTTAACTATCGCATGCTAAATGTTTGGCATGTTTAGTGTTTCTGCTCTACTATGCTGTACAGTATATCAGATTTTAGAACTATAGAAAGCACTTTTATGAAAGTGATTGTATTTCAATTATTAGGAAAGTGCTTCACAATTATCATGAATATATGATGCCCTAGATATTATTATTTTCAGGATACCTTGTCAATCTCTAACTTTTCTGTAATTCATGTCTTAAAATTTAATATTCACCAGACATTATTAGCTAAGAAATAAGAATATTAATTCTATCACTAGGTTGTCTTTTAACATTTTATATTTTACCAAAAATATCAAAGAACGTGCGCTTACCATTTCAGATATTACCGACATGGAAACAAAAACTTGTTTATATTTAAAGTAATTTCTGAGAAGACACTAGTTTAAATTCCTATATGTAATGATACATATTCCCAGTTATATAATGATATCTCCATTTTAAAATGTAATACATTTTATGGTATCCATCAGGTTAAAATATTTGTGATAAATAACTATCATATTGTGGCAAATGGATCATTTGTGTGCTGAAAGTTAGTCTCTTTAATAACACATTAATGACAGGACCATAATTCATCTGTCTTTCTGCTGAGTGGTTTGAACCACCAGTGGTACATACATGACCGTCCCATGCACGAATGTACCACTTCTACCACTAGGGGTACAAGTTGCCCAATGAAAGAGTCATGCATGTACCACCAGTGGTTCAAGCTGATGAAAACATGTTCAAAACTAAAAATAAAAGGAACTCTATTATTATAGTTATGTTTGTAACCATAAGTACACTAAAAAGCATCTAATACATCCTTTTACATAAATATTCTTAGATATTTAATTCTATTATGAGAAGCAATAGGGTAATGCTAACAAGCAGTATATATAAATCGTCTGAGTATAGACATTCACAAACAAATTAGCACTGAGATTTATTATAAAATTGCCTACCAGGTGATAAAATTTATTTTTAAATAGTGATTTTGAAGTAAAATATCATGTTTAAAAAAAAAGAAGCATGTTTAACAAAGTTACTTATAATTTAAGAATTTTCTATTTCTCAGAGAATGATCAGACCATTGAAAATTTTCTGGAGAAAGTTACAAGGATAAATCAGTATAATGATACTTCGATAAATAACCGAGCATCTTCATAGGGACAAATATATAGTTATAACCTGTGAATTTTTTTATATCGAGTTAGCCACTGTATGTTATTTTAAAATAAATTTTAAATGTATACTTACTAATATTTTATAACATAACATATTTTATTAAGTTTTGTTGGAGAAATGTTTACAGGGGATTTTCGTCATTGCTTATCTTGTATATTTCAAACTGCCATAACAAAATGAATTTTGTGAAATGATACTGAGATTAAGGGAAAGTATATAAAAAGATGAAGTTCTCAGAAGGGATGCCACCTTTTTCTTGTTCCTGCCGAAGACATAGATAATGCACTATATCATATCTTACCTCTGTTCTGTCCTGATTCTCCAACTCTTTACCCTAACCGGTTAGTAGCAGTCAAATTTCAGAATAAAATGACACAGATTCTGTATTCATTGTAAAAAGTTATTCTCAAAGCAAAAATGATTGGAATATCTTTTCATAATGGCTTAGTAGTTTATATATTTTTTGCCTTTTTGAATAAAGTAATTACAGTAACCAGTTTACATCCATAGTCTACAGATTCAACCAGTTGCCAATTGCAAATATTCAGGGGAAAAAATTAAATCTATAGTGGACATATACAAACTGGTTTTCGTGTCATTATTCCTTAAACAGTACAGTAAAACAGCTGTTGGTACAGTATTTACATTGTATTAGGTGTTAAAAATAATTCAGAGTTGATTTTAACATATACAGGAGGATGTGCAAAGATTATATGCAGGTATTATGCCAATTTATATAAAGAACTTGAGCATTTGCAGATTTTATTACCCACTTACTCCAGGAACCAATCTTCCACAGATACCAAAGGATGGCTATATTAGGAAAATTTTTAAATAACTTTGTTCTTAAAGAAGAAAGCTTTTAGAATCTCAAGTATTCAAAACAGCTGCCTCTACCTTTTGATTTCTGATAGTTTAGATAGTAATGATCAAAGTAAATAAAGAACAAATAATTGAGTTATTTTTAAAATCTTTATGTGTGAATTCAATAAACTGAAAACACACATGGTATAGCATCCAACACAAGAATTATAATGGATTCTTTTATAAGTTACTCATTTTTGTTTAATCCGTCTAATTGTTTTTATTATATAAGCCAAATATTTTTCCTTTTAAGGACCAGTGTTATCAAGAACTGCCACTGTTATACTTGTCTGAGTTATATCTTAACTTGTTTTGTTGTACATTAAGATGAATTCTTAAAATGACATGTTAAATCGAATAATTTTCATCTAACAAAAGCATACATAAAATACTGTATCTTAGATATTAAAATCTTCACTTTATGAAACATTTTAATTTCTTATTGATGAAAGGCAGTAGTCAGCATTCTTTCTGTATTTTCTGTAGGGAAATATTCATTTACAAAGTAGGTATCTTTAATTTATATACTTTTAAAATTTGTGAATTTTTATGCATAAATTAGATGCACACAAAATTTAGTTTTTTAAACTGATTTGGGTGATGTTTCCACCTTTTTTTCTGCTATTGGTATCATATATTAGCTCTGACATCTATTAGAAAACTAATCTCTGAAAATAACAGTCACAAGCCACTAGAGAACCTACCAAGTTCATAACCATGCACTTTAAAAACTGATCACAGTCATTCAATTTAACATGAGTCCTCCTAAACTTTATGATAACTACAAAACAGGTTCTTAAAAATATGGGTCAAAATTTTATAGCTGTTGTAAATCAGATTCCTTTCTTGATTTTTTTTTTAGATAATTTGCTATTGGCATGTAGAAATGCTAATTTTTGTACATCAATATTTTATCTTAAAATTTTGCTGAATTTATTCTAAAAGTTTCTTGGTAGTCTTTTTGGAGTTTTCTGTATATAAGACCATGTCATCTGCAAACAATGACAGTTTGACTTCCTCTTCTCTGTCTGGATGCTCTTCATTTCTTTCTCTTCCCTGACTGTTCCAGTTGGGGCTTCCTGTATAATACTGAATACAAGTAAGAAAAGTGGGAGATTTTGAATTACAGTCAAACATTCTCGCATCACATAGAAAAATAATATCTAACAACAGCAAAATTTCACCTATTCATATAAATATTTACCATTTCAAAATGAAAACTTGATTTAGCCAAAGCAAAATCATTTTTATGGCTCAAAGCAAGTTTTTTAAATGTACTACAAAGTAAATGAAATACTACTTTGTTACATAGCCACTTAGAGACTAAATGTTTTTGTGAGCTTAATGTAATGTTTTTATCCTTAAGAATTCAGGTACTACTTTGGTTTAATTACTTTATAGAGAACTCATTCATCCTTTGTCAAATCAAGGGACTGAGTGCTGCCACTGCTCTTCTATTCCAACTGTCAGTGAAAGGAGGAGAATTTCTCAGTGTGATTGGCATTTTTGGCATTTTTTCACACTACTTTTCCTGGAAAGTATACTGGAAAGAGCTGACAGGGTTTTAATTTTCAGGCATAAACTTGCACATGTTACTTAACTGCTTTCTTCCTCTATTTGTAAACTGGAGACACTAATACAATCTATTTCATAATAAATGCTAACAAACTTGAGACAGTAAAATAAATATTTTACAACATAAAACAATGATAATACTGCATGCAGTTGTGGTATGCAATGGTGCATACAACTAATGGTATACTATGCCTTGGTGTGTGTGTGTGTGTGTGTGTGTGTGTGTGTGTTTTGCTTTTGAAAAGACTAGTTTAGAAAGTTAAGCAAAATCATTGTAAACAATACAAAGTGGGCACCATCAGCTACTCAACTACACTTGTTTTTCCATGTAACTATGCTTAGAAGTATTTTTCAATCAATTTTACCAAAAATCATTATCAAACCATTGTATTACCATGTTAATTTGATATAAGGTCTTATGTCCTGATTTTAAAAATACCATATGCAGCCAGATGTGATGGTTCATGGCTGTGTTCCAAGCAACTTGAGAGGCTGATGCAGGAAGATTGCAAGTTCACGGGCAGCCTGGGCAATTTAGAGAGAGCCTGTCTCAAAATAAAGGATGACCTGGGGTATAATTTAGTGGTAGAGCTCATGGCTAGAAAGTATGCATGACCTTTAAGGCCTTTCTTGGCCTGGCCTTGGCCTACTGCGCAGGGCTCCAGCCACAGTGCCCTCCCTCAGTCCTTCAGAGATCACTGCCCACCAGGACACGGCCCTCGCCTCTAGCTGGGCGTCAGCAGCCCCTGCTCAGGCTGAGGTACCCACGGCCCTGAGCTTGCCTGCTCCTTCCCAAGCCTCGAGTGGAGTGGCCACAGGTTACACTAGACTGCAGTGAGAGTGGGCTGCGTGGTTTTTCTTTCTCCCCTTTGCAGTACCAGAATTGGGACCTTCACACTGAGGTGCATCCCCAGCCCTTTATTAAAAATTTAAGGGCTAGGCATGATAGTCTGTAATCCCAGCACTCAGGAGGCTGAGGCAGGAGGATCGCCATGAGTTTGAGGCCAACCTGGACTACATAGGTCCTGTCTCAAACTCCACCCTTCAAAAAAAAAGGGAGTCAGCATCTTTAGGTTGCATGGCAGGGCTCAAATTGAAGATGTTCCTGCCACAGTCTTGCAGCGTGCTGGGATTACTGGCTTGTGCCACTGCAATTTCTGTTATTATGCATGGTGTAGGTGAAAGGTATTCACTTCTCACATGGGCAGTGTTCAACATAAACTGAATGAAGTCTTAGCACTCAAAAAAAAAAAAAAAAAGAATTGATTATGCTATCTTATTTACTTCTCCTGCTCTTGTCTTTTTTTTCAGCTCAATTATTGACCCAATTTTATCAACTCTTTCATATAATTATCTCATTTTCCTTCCACACAAACATATACTATTTTTTTCAGTTCAAATTTCCCCATTTCTAAATATTATTCCATTTATTTCTGCCTGATAAGGATATAAGAATGGAAGCAAAGAAAAAAAACATAAGATAAAAAATGAATATGTTTTTAAGCCACTCATTTTGTGGTGTTTTGTTACAAAGGCAACTTGTACAGGCTGTATGGAGCTGTTCACAAGTACAGAAATGCTCATTATGGAAAACTCTTACTCATGTCACATGGCAGGTTATTTGGAATATCTAAGTAATCTATATGCATTAACTCATGTTATCTTTTCAACAGCCCCTATTAGGTACATACTGTTATACCTTTTTTGAGGAGAGTTTTCGAAAGGTCTTGGAAGAAGTAAAGCTTGAACTTGAATTAAGGTTGTTGGACTCCAACATTCCCAAGAGATAAGACACCAAATTACAGAATTATGTTTTCAGATTTAGGAGGAGAAATACATTCTTTCACAGTTCTCCAGGCTGTAAGTCTAAACCCAAAGGTCACAATTCCCCAGAAGCTCCAGTGGAGTGCCAGTTCTTTCTCAGCTTGTAGTGGTCTTAGCATTCCTTGGTGTTTCTTGGCTGTATCCTTCCAATCTCTGGCCCTGTGGTCACCTTGCTGCCTGCTCTTTTGACTGTGTGCATATCGTCTGTATGTCTCTTGTAACAAAGCTTTCCATTGAATTTAGGGCCCACATAATCATCCTTGTCTCAACACCTTGAATTTAAGGACATCTGCAGCCCCTTTCTCCAGGTTCAAGGAATTGGCATCAACACATCTTATTGGACTACTATTCAACCCACTACAGTGCTGTATTTTTAAATCAGTGTGCTTCTCTGTGATCATGATGAACCCACATCATTTATGAGAGCTCATGAAGAAATACAGTGACAGAAAAATAGGGAAGAAGAGAGGAAGGGAAGAATGAAGGGAAAGAAAAAGTATTGCCTCTAGGGAGAATGAACATTACAAACCACTATCTGTATCAACATTTTCTACTGAAGATTGCTATTTGGGAGTTTAAAACCAGAATAAACTGATATTTGGGGAAGTATGGTTAGGTATTTGAACATTTACTCCAATATATTTATATGGGGAAAAGCTCTTCGAAATAGTATTACAGGAACTTAAGTCAGCATCATAATCTCCAGTAGACCCATCCTCCTGCCCTTGTTTCTATAGAGAATAAAATATAATTTTCAGCATAATTTTAAATTATCACAAGGATAAGAAACAGTTTGTCATGAGACTAAAGAACAGTTTGTCATTTATCAGCAAGCCTTGTGAATGCAAAACAAAAGTAAATCTTCTCTATATGAACGTTCATGATTGCCAATACCTAGTTCAAAATCCAGATTTGCAAAAAATAAAATGTTATTCATTATAATTTGGAACTTTCTTTTTTTTTTGGCATTTACACATGTGTGTCCTATTTATTTCACTTAAGAGTATTACCTCAATGTGCATCCATTTAGCAATAAATGTCTCTAATTTCTCATTTTTGATGGCTAAGTAGTACTCCATTTTATTAAAAAAAACCCCACATTTTCTTGATCCAGTCTCCAGTTCATGGGCATTTGGGCTGTTTCCAAGTTTTAGCTATTCCAAATTGTGCTGCTATGAACATGGGTGCACATATATCACTGTGGTATGATTCTTTTAATTCTTTGGGGAAAGATACCCAGCAGGGGAATAGCTGGGTCAAATGGGACTTCCAGTCCTAGTTCTTTGAGGTATCTCCATACTGATTTCCACAGTGGT